GATATTGGGAGCAAAACTCATGTTTTCAGGAGTGACGTAGGTACTTAAGAGCTTGAATCCCATTTACTTTCAGTGAAACTCAGACTGCTAAAGACCAGATTTTCAAAGGTATTTAGGCACCTGACAAAAAAGGTTGGTGCCTAGTGGGATTTTGAAAATGCTTAGGTGCCAATTGACAGTTAAGAACCTAACCTGCTTAAGGTGCTTTTGAAAGTCCAACTGGGTAACTATCTGCAACTTTAAGAGGCTAAATACCTTAGACAATCTAGCCCTTAGGAATCAAAACAAATTTCATTGATTCTCAGTGGAATTTAAGTTCCTCAGGTGGGTTTGAAAATAGGATTTAAGCTCCTAAATCACTTTGTTTCTTTGTGTGTCTCCACAAAGGATTTGTCTAAAGCTACTGAGGGAGTTGATGTTTTGGGGGCTGGAATCCAGGAGTTGCTGGCTCTTAGTCTACTGATGAAAAAGATAAATCTCGCCTTTGTTAAGTAGTGTGCCATCATCTAACCCTAAAGCTTCACAATAACCCCCCCCCAAAAAATCTAGCAATTACCATGTCAGATACAGACTAACACAGCTATCCTTCTGAGAGCAATCACAACAGTGTCCTTTGAGCAAGGCCATTTAATCAGGAAATTTATAAGACATTAAAAAATGTATATCTTTCCTATCCTTTGGCTTGATCTGAACCCACTTAAGTCAAATTGGGGCTTTGCTATTGACATCAACAGGAGAAGGATTAAGTCAAATACAAATATATCCATTTATTTAAGAATTGCACCTGTTAAATGTTAACTGACTAAACCAAAGCTTGCTTTTCATAGTAAACACAGCTCTCTTAAAATACAAAATTTAATCAATATGGTTTTTATACCTTTAGAGAGACTATGATTAGCAGATTCAGAAAGTAGTCAGTCTAGTTAAAGGTTTTTGTGGTGAGTGGGATGTATTGCCATGGATGTCAGGACACTCTCATGGTGCAGTGTGTTTTTTTATGAATAGGAAACAAAATGAATCTAAATAGCTAATGTATAGGTAGAATCTTTGCTGTAAATTCTGAGGTGTTCTTTTCTTCATTGCCTTTAGTCACTTGAACAACCTTTTTCAAACCCATTGAACCAGGTATGAAGTCTTGCTGTCATGTCTGACTCCATTCGAAGGATTAACCAGAGCTAATAACACAATACTTATTGTAGGTACGTGGTAGGCAAGGCAGAATGGCCTCATCTCCCACTAGTTATGCTCATTTAAAAAAAAAAGGCTTTAAGGAGCTTATTGTTAAACTCAGTTACTAGAACAGCCCTGAGACAGATACCAAGCACCTTAACAAGGTGTGGATAAATTTCATTTGATAAGTTTTCTTTCCATAGCAGCTGTTAGAGGTATGTACATTTATCATCTTGGGGCCTATGCATTGTATAGAATTGTGAGTCATTAAACTGTTACTTCATTGATTCCCAATATTTTCTAAAGGCATGTCTACACAGCAGGGTTAAAGCCAGAATAAGCTACACAACTTCAGATATGTCAATTGCGCAGTTTATGTTGAAATAGTTTATTTTAGCTTTTGGCACTGTCTACACAGTAGCAGGAAGTCCGAGAAAGATTACTCTTCCTACGAATTCCCTTACTCCTCATAAAATGTGGGTTACAGGAGTCGGAGTAAGAAATCCTCCAGCTCAACATTGTTTTGACATTATGTCAAAATAACTGCTTGTGGTGTAGACGCAGACTATGTTATTTCACAATAACATCAGTTATTCTGAAATAACACTGCTGTGTAGATGCCCCTAAATGAAAAACTGACAGAAATTGGACCACTGCATTCTGAAGGAAAGCACAGCAGTCTCTATAACTGCCTTAAATAGTCTGTTGACAGCTGAGTGCTCACAATGACTTAATTTGGACACATTTTTGAAAAGTAAAACACACAAGTCAGGGTGCCTGATATGTTCAAAATTCTCAGACTCATAGAGCTGGAACATTTTCAAGCCAGAGACGTCTCATCACTTATGCCCATTATTTGGGAGATGCCTGCAAACATTCTGTTGATTCAAATCAGTGTAATGAAATGGGCGGAGGCAGTCTGTGTTTGAGCTCATCTCTTGTCAGAAGGTGACTAGAAAAGCCGTGAGCATGAGTTAGAGAATTTTGATTCTTCTCTTCTTCATAGTAGAATTTTTTTGTTTGTTATAGGGGCTGCAGTACCATGGTATACATAAGTACCATGTATAAACTTCGCCCTTATTTCTCTTTGGAGCACTGTGAGGAGCCCTGGGATGCTGTGGCCTGGGCTGCATTGGCCCACTGATGGTGCTCTTGTGCATTCTGCATACACAGGGCAGATTCAAGCAACATTCCTGTACACCAGCACTTTTAATTTCTGGGAAAAGGTGCAGAGTGCATTTCTGTGATTCAGTTACTAGACACTAGCTCTGTGACACTGTTCACCTCGCCCTGCCCTCTTGGGCCACTGAATGTTGCCAAATCACATAGTTTGCACCCCTTTGGGAGTGCCAGTGTCAGGAATCTGGTTGTGGGTACTGCACACTGCAAGGTTTTATACAGAGACTGTTTGCAATTGCTTCATCTAAATTACTGAATGTGCAGTTTCCTGTTGGCAAGTAACATGTTATTCTTCCCTCTATAGCAGAAATTTCTGTTTACACATTACAACTTTGTATTCTCCTGAGACCGTGAGGAAGAAAGGGAATCACTTTAAGTGACTATATAATACCACCCTCTTTCTGGTCTGTAGAATTTTCACAACCTTATGCTTTCCTATGTTCTGTATCTTTTAGTAAATGGTAAGAGACGATGCTGTTGTTTGTTCCAAATGAGCAACCCTTCTTGCTCTTCCCTGATATCTTCACAACCCCCTCTACAAGCATTATTTCAGACTTTGACACATAACCAGTAAAAATAGAATTTCAAAATCTAGAGAGGAGGGCACTTAGTTCTTTGATATGCTGTAGGAACTATACTTTAGGGCTGTGTCTAGACGGGCATGGTTTTGCGGAAATATTTTTAACAGAAAAGTTTTTCTGTTAAAAGTATTTCTGCAAAAGAGTATCTAGAGTGGCATGGATGCTTTTGCGGAAAAAGTGCTTTTGTGCAAAAGCATCCATGCCCAGTATAGATGTGCTTTTGCGCAATAAAGCTCTGATAGCCATTTTAGCCATCGGGCTTTCTTGCGCAAAAATTAAGGTGCCTGTCTACACTGGCCCTCTTGCGCAAGAATGCTTGCACAAGAGGGCTTATCCCTGAGCAGGAGCGTCAAAGTATTTGCGCAAGAAGCACTGAATTCTTACATTAGAACGTCAGTGCTTTTGCACAAAATCTTGCCAGTCTAGACACACCCTAGGTGTAAGATCAAGCCACATAAACCTCTTGCTTCCTTCCCCGGACCTCCAAGAAAACATGATCTGTAAACTGGGAGAGTTATCTTTGGCAGTGTAACAAAGTGGTGGCTCTTGTTATGTGTCCTTTCTCAGCAAGACTATTGAAGCTATAGTCACAATATCTGAAGTCATAAACACTACAAAGACTCTTATCTTTGGTTAGTAATGAGTTATGGGACCTTTCACTTCTAGGCTTCTGGAGTGAATCTGACCTAGGTCTCCTCTCTCTCTCTCTCTCTCTCTCTCTCGATTTCAATGGTAGTTAAGCACATAACCTGCTTAGGTACTTTCAAAAAGCCCTATCTGCATTTGTAGATGCTTGAATACCTTTGAATATCTAGCCCATCACAATTAATGTTGGGAATTTAAACTGAAAGACTAAAGAGTTAATGGACCTTTATAATTGTTTTTGAAGTTTTTAATGAATCATATCACCTCTTTTGGTTAGGTCTGAGGTATATTGCTTGAACAGTTCTGAGGAATGGTATCCATAGTTGTCTATTATCTCCTGCCTGTTGTTTCCATTAAAAAGGTCACTACTTGCCCACAGTTTCTGCACAGTGTAGTGTATAAAATACCACAGTATTTTCATATATTTAAGAATAAGGAAATATCTGTAGAAATTGTTTAGTAATGGTGAGCAACTATGTAATTTTATATGGCTTTCACGCATCTAATTAGAGGACTTAAGACCAGTTCTGTAATTCTGTCACCCTGACAACTTTCACAAGCATTCTGAAATGTATTTAAATATTAAGAGTAAGCATATACATTGAATAAAACCAAACTTAAACATTTTGTATTATTTTTAAATATTTAAGCATACCAGAGTAGATAGTTAAGAAATAGTTAATGTGTAACACTAAGGTTTGTTGAATTGAGCAATGTTCACAACATGGCTGAAAATCAATTAATTTTTTGGAAATTGTAATATAATTAGTAGTTCTACCAATCAGTACACAAATGTTTCCTTAAATTTTTGAATGCTTTTCAACTAAATACATTATATATTTTCTAGTTGCTCAGAATCCTATGTAGTAAAATGTTAAGCTATTTTATTATGCATACTTAATAATTAAAAATATTTAATCATTAGGTGCCTTTTGTTGAATAAGTGCAGGCAGAGAAACCAATTCTTCTTCCACTAATTTCAGTATGTTTCCAATTTATGTAAGAAAGGAGGTTCGTTAGCCCCTAAGCAGCAAAGAATTTAAGCACATGATCAACTTTAAGCACTTGAGTAATCCCTAATCCAACTCTCATTGAAGCTGATGGGAGTATTTCCAATAAATTTAGACAAAGTTGGTTTAAGGCCTAGTGAACAAAATCAAAGATGATTTGACTAGAAAGTAGAAGGACAACCTCCTGAATTTAGTTTTGAATATTTTTTGTTTTTATTCAGTCAACAGACTACAGTAATGATTTTTTTTCTACTCTGCAGTCTTAACTCTAGTTTATAATGGAAAAGAAAATGTTTATTTCATAATCCTTTGGATCAGGCTTTTCTACAACAGAGATCAAAGTCAGTGGATTACAAAGCACAAAGAGATGACAACTGACACTTAGTGTAATGTCACCAATTCTTTATTTCCACAGTGCCGCCAGTGATTCGTGTATATCCCGAAACTCAGGCACAGGAACCTGGTGTATCTGCAAGCCTCAAATGCCATGCTGAAGGCATTCCTAATCCCAGAATTTCCTGGCTAAAAAATGGCATTGATATCATGCCCAAACTATCCAAACAACTAACACTCTTAGGTAAGAATAGAATTCTGGTTAATATGCGTACTATAAAAAAGGAGTTAAATGGTTTATGTTGCACCTAAAAGTAGATGTTCTTTTTTTTTCTGTCAGAAAAGTGTGAAAATTACAGTCCATGATCTCTGCTCTTTCTTTCTCGGTACATCTACACAGCAGTGTTATTTCAGAATAAATGATGTTATTCCAAAATAACATAGTTGGTGTCTACACTACAAGCAGTAATTTCAACATCATGTCAAAATAATATCAAGCTAGGGGACTTCTTACTCCAACTCCTGGAACCCTTATTTTACAAGGAGTAAGAGAAGTCAGAGGAAGAGTGCTTTTTCTTGGACTTCTTGCTGCATAAACAGCACCAAAAGGCTAAATAAGCTTTAGCACTGCTGCATAGACGTGCCCTTTATCTCTTTCTTCAGTGACACTGACTGGTATAAACAATAACATTCTTTTAAAATTAGTGTACCTGATTCTCCACTGCTTTGCCCATGATTTATATCAGAGTAAATCAGAAAGACAATATTTTACATTCATTTTGTACAGTTGTAAATGACTAGACAAGTCGGAAGTCTATTGAGAGTCAAGCTCTGACTCATGTGCCTCACTTTTCATCTTAACATCAGCACATGAAATTATTTCTCATGCTAATTTTAGCTCCTCATTTTCAAAAGCTAACAAAGGGCAGGATCATGTGTAAATTGTACTTGCAATACAAATATAAAGAAAAGGGACTTCACCCAACACAAAGAGACAGTTAAAAAGATACTTTAAATGCATTATACAAGAATAACAAAATAGACAGCATTATGTAGAAAACATTCACATCCTCTGCTAAAATGGTGAAAAATCAGATTTTCATTGATTTGACGAAAAAAGCTGTGCAGTATTTGTTTGATTCTGGGCAAAAGGGAATTTTGCAAATTTTTACTTGAGGAGTTGCATTCTCTTTGGTGTGGAATTTCGTTATATTTCCTCGTGAGAAATCTGTATTTGACACTAGGGAAAGGAAACTTTTTCCATCCTTTACTGATTTGTAAACTCCTCAGAATCTCAGATTAAACATGGTAAAAACCATGTTTCAGAGGTAAAAACTTGTCACTTTGTAAGCCTCTTCAAGCTTCTTCTTAAACAGCTAAGAGGAACAGTTTATGGATGTCTCTGTTGCAGCAAATGGAAGTGAACTTCATATCAGTAGTGTTCGATATGAAGACACCGGTGCCTACACCTGCATTGCTAAAAATGAAGTGGGAGTGGATGAGGATATATCTTCTCTCTTCATCGAAGATTCTGCCAGAAAGACTCGTAAGCTTAATTTTTCCTTTATCTTTTTAGGAATCCACTATTTAGTTTTGTTCTAATTCTATGTGGTTTATTTGGAGTTATCACTTCCTCTCTTTCATTTTAATCAATGTGGACCTGAACGCATTTAATAGGAAATTTGCCTTAGTAAGGATTTCAATGATGAGGCATAACTTGAATGTAATCTGCTTTGTGTTCTTTTGTCCGCTAAATTAACCATCACATATTTTCAATTGCACTTCAGTCCTGGACTCATTCTACACAGTCTGTGGAACTTCCTTTAAAACTAGCGTGAAATCTGCCCACAGAGTGGCCACAGAATCACAAATCAGGCCCTATGTTGAAATATCACATGAGGTATGATAGAAGACTTATTGTATCACATCACTGACAGTCTTTTGTGTTAGGGTTGTGTTGAGATCTGGGCATAGATACTAGCGTTACTAAGGTAATACATTACTACTATTTTTGGCCATAAAAGAATACAATCAAAGATTTCTTCAAATGATTGCCTGACTTACTTAATTTTTTTTTTAAAAAGTCTGTTTGTAAAGACTTTTCCTTTTTCAAACCATTTCATATTCAAAATAGCCAAATATTTAGATGCCTAGAAGTGTGGTCTTTGAGATTATTTTAACTTGGGGGCTGTATCTAGACTGACAAGTTTTTCCGCAAAAGCAATTGCTTTTGCGGAAAAACTTGCCAGCTGTCTACACTGGCCGCTTGAATTTCCGCAAGAACACTGACGATCTCATGTAAGAAATCAGTGCTTCTTGCAGAAATACTATGCTGCTCCCGTTCGGGCAAAAGTCCTTTTGTGCAAAAGCTTTTGCACAAAAGGGCAAGCCATTGTAGACAGCTTAGATTTGTTTTGCACAAAAAAGCCCCGATTGCGAAAATGGCGATCGGGGCTTTTTTGCACAAAAGCACGTCTAGATTGGCACAGGCTCTTTTGCGCAAAGCGCTTTTGTGGAAAAGCGGCCATGCCAATCTAGACGCTCTTTTCCGCAAATGCTTTTAATGGAAAACTTTTCCGTTAAAAGCATTTCCGGAAAATCATGCCAGTCTAGACGTAGCCTAAGGGCGTGTCTAGACTACAGGGTTTTTTCAAAAAAAGTGGCCTTTTTTCGAAAAAAGTTCCCCTGTGTCTACTCTGCCACTGCATTCTTTCGAAAGTAAATCGAAATAATGCGGCAGTTTTTTCAGACACGGAAAACCTTGTTTTATGAGGAAGAATTCCTTTTTCTGAAAGTGTTCTTTCAAAAAAAGGCGCTATGTAACGCAAACTGTGCTTTTTCAAAAGAGAGCATCCAGACTGCCTAGGTGCTCTCTTTCAAAAAAGCGGCTTGATTTTTTAAAAGTATTGGTTGTAGTCTAGATGCTCTTTTTCGAAAGAGGCTTTTTCAAAAGTTTGGATTGCTTGAATTTTTTATTCTACCTATATCACATTGAAAAGTAGCAAAATAGACTTTAAAAATATTAAAATATTATTTTCCATACCAAAAACAAATGTTTTGTCATCCAAATTTTAGCCACCATTTTGGTTAGAGTGCAGCAGTGCTACATTAGCATTATACAACATGAAATTGCAATATCTGGAGAGCTGCTTGATTGTTGCTTTGGTGTAATTCTCCAGATTGCTTCTACATATGATGCTTCTGAAGGTCCTACAGATTATTCATGCGTGTTGATATATTTAGGACTATGTGCAAACAGGAGTCTGCTCCTTAGATCACGTCCCAAAAATGTACTACATTCCAAATTGTTAACAATGGGTACACACATTTATGGCAGTACTTGGTTCATTGAGTAGAATAGTGTACTCTGTCTAATATCAGTCACTTCACTTGAACCCCTGAGCAAGAAATTATACTGAGTAGAAATTATATTATGATGAAAAACAATTTGAAATATTACAAGATGAAATTCTAGTATACCTAAGGAGGGTGATTGAATCCTAAATGAAAATATCGTGTTGCTGCATAAAATTCCCAGAAGAAATACTGGAAAGCATTTAATTGGTATAACTGTTCTAGGCTTCAGAATTTTGCTTTAATGAAAATGTATGGGAATTCACTGTCTGTACTGTCCCCATCTTTACATTCAAGAGAACATTCCATATATTAAGGCTTGATCCTGCAGTCTTGGTGTAGGCAAAACTCATATTCAGTGTAACAAGATTTTTACCAGTGCAAGGACTGCTGAATGCTCCCACAAGGAAATGTTTGACTTTGGAAATGTCTATTTTTCCTGCTGTTTTATTCAATTTAAATACTTTGCCTGGATAAATGTTGTGAAGTTTTCAGAAATGAAACAATTTACTTAAAATCAGAGTGTTAATTCAGATAACTGCTACAATGAAAAATTTGACACTGTCTGTTTTTTTTCTTTTCTTGATTATTTTCTGGCTTTCCCAATTTTCTGATGCTGCAGTTGCAAACATACTGTGGCGAGAGGAAGGTACTGCAGTAAAGTTGTTTTGTTGTAGTGATAATGTGCTTGTCTGCTTCAATAATTCCATAACGGGCCATTCTCCACTGACTTGCCACTAACTTTATCAGCTCTTATGGTTGTCAGATTAAGTATCAGAGCAGCAGTTCAAAATAATAGATGTCACTTTTGTGAAGTAAATCCTGAACGTAATTCCTTAGATATTTTTTGCTATAAAATAATAAGTGATCGTGATGTAATTGAAATTCTTGATTAGGTAGTAACAATCACCAATGCAATTTAATATCAGATTCTTCACAAATATCAATAACTTAACGGAATTTCCAGAACAACTATGATCTCAATTTACTATAAATGAGGAAAGCTAGATTTATACTCAGTATGTTCCATTTTTTTAAACATGTGTTTCACACTGTGCATTGCCTGTTCTTTACAGTATGTACAAATGTTTATTATGTAAATCACGTCCATACCTGCTTATTATGTTCATATGTGTTGGGTGAAACAATAGTTGTTGTTCCTTCCAATGCTTTAAATGGATGAGGGGCACAGGATGCCTCGTTTCTTCTTGTTTTAATTGGCAATTAAAACCTCTAATCTGGTCAGATTTATAGTGTGTCCTGCACAAGGTCAAATTTTCTGTAACTTGAAGGCTAAATTAGAGAAAAGGCTTCCTAAGTAGCTAATGCACTCAAGCCCAGTTAAGAGACACAGGTGGCCACAATCAGATTTGATTTTGTGTGTGCATGTACTGTAGTTATGTGCAAAAATGAGTATTGATATTCTAATTTGCACATGCAATAGCAGTAAATGAATATGGAAAAACATCTAAACAGATGTGTCCCAACTGGATATTGCACAATTTATCCACTCGCATATATAGTTATGGCAACTGCATGCACAAATGTGGACATTTGGCTCTGTGCACTTTGGAGCTACAGGTCACTTTCTTTATGCCTCTAAATCCTGAGGGCAAAGCCAAAGAAAAACAAAAAGTCCTAAGCCAAGTGAATGCAATAAGATCCTCTCTTCTCATTGGGTAACACACTGGGTATAAAATGGTCCTTGCACTGTCAACTGGTAGGATGGAAATATATGTTTTGCCTGAAGCCAGAAGGAAAGGATATTTGTGCCAGATACATTAAGGAAATTATTCAAGAACAATTTATTCATTGAGGAAGACTTGATCCATAATTTTAGTAGGCTAATAATATCTAGTCTTCCTTGTGTAGTAGCTGCACAAATTAAGCCTGAACCCAATGCAAAACAAGTTTATGATGGGACCTAAAAATATATTTACATCCTTATAGTAGTTGTGGGGGATGGGCATTTTATAGTCTAGGGACCAATTTTGCCAGTGGATTGGAGGCACATGAACACCTAGAGTGTATTCACTGTTCCATTCCCCAGAATATATGTAACAGCAGCAGCTTTGAGGTCATTCCTAATGCCAGCGTCACTAGCTTCAGCAGATTGTCCTGAGATAGCTCTTCCCTATTTCTAACTCAGCACCAGCTACTGTGTAATACACAATTATGTGTTTCTTCACTGCTGAGCTTCATGTAAATTGCACTGTGGACATTTCGATTTGCTGTATTCCAGTGTATAGTTTGCCCAAATCTGAAATGGCTGTTGAATTAAATCAGTCACGCATTACCTATGTACTGGTACATAGTTGTTTATATACTTTTCATCCCATATTCTACCTAAAAGATCCATGAGGGATGAAATAACTGCATGAAAAAGCAGATGGAAAATTGTAGGAATAAAAGAATTAAAGGAACACATATGCATAAACTCAAATAATAGTTCTAATAAATATAGTGTAGTTACTGTAAACTGACCAGAATCAAACCTGCACATTTCAAAATTGAATTCCAACAATGCTAATGATAGCAGATTTATTATCAGAGTTCCTGAAATAAACTCAGCTGGTTTAGAATATGGTTATATAAATCTT